GAAACGCGGGAAACGGGGGGCTTGATGGCTGGCCAGGGGTGGCGTCGTCAGTTTCAGCGCCAAAAGACAAAGGAAAGCTCCTGACGCCATGGCTGACCGCGCGGAGGGGTTGATGTCGCGACTGGGGGTGGGGGTGAGCGCCGCCACGCTACGGCGTTGCTGGGTCGCCGCCCAGACCTCTGCGAGCGCTTGGCGCTGCTGCCACCCGTCTAAACCGCCCCAAGGGCACCTTTGTCTGCGCTGTGCGGTGGGCGGGAGCCTGCAGCGAGCCCGAGCCTGGAGCCTCGAGTCTCTTCTTTTCAGGAACTCACGAAGGATCCCAAGTACGAGGCCTCTGATTCCCGCCACTCGCCCCCGTTTCGCTTATAAACGAAAAACAAATTTCTGACCAATACGAATTAAAATGGGCCAGGTTTAAAAAGCTCTACGTAGTAATCAAATTTGATTTTGTTTGGACAAACGGTGGTTTTGATAAAAATATATTCCTCCCTACCCCCCCCAACAGTGGCCCGGGAATTTCAGACCTCCCTCCCCCCCAGGCATATTTGCCTCGGCATGTAAAACTCACTGTCACGGGGGAAGAATTCTGCAAGAAAGCTGCCCGACCAAGATAGCCTCCCATCTCCCCCTGTTTGGGTCTGATTTTTTCATGCGTGTGCACATGATGCAAGTCTGCCAACATGCCTACTTGGCAGGCTCACCGTTTAAATGCCAGTCAGCTGGAGGTTTACTGTGCCTAAGTACCAATGATTGGGACATGGCGCAAGGACTGATGGCGTTTCCTCCTAGGATTTGGCCAACGCACTTTGACCACCACATTCGTGGCCAAAAGGGTTATTCATCCGTTAATCCAATCTATTTAGTGTTTATTCTGCAAGCTGAAGTGTCAGGAGCGTGGACACACCGGCCGGGGGTCTCGGGAAGTCAGCCATGCACAGCGGCGTGTTCACACCGGTGCGCTCAAGGCTCGCTGTGTGCTCGCGGCAGGAGCGGTGTTGCCCTCTGGAAGTCTCGCCCGGCTTTGGGCCGGCCCTGGCCTTGTGCACCAGGCTTGCTCGTCCCCCACCACTTGATCTTTCTCTGGTGTCTAAGGCGTTTCCCAGGTCGCCGCCTACGTCCGTGTTGGCGACGAGTTAAAAATGCCGCGGCCCTTTCCGGCGGCAGCCCCCGAGCCGATGGCGCGGCGGATTAATGAGACCGCAGGGCCCTTGATGGTGGATGGGGGATCAATGCGATCGGATTGAGCTGTTAGCGGCCTTCCGCGGAGGGCAGGAAAGCGCCGCGAGGAGGCCTGCGGTCACGAGTCGCTTGAGACACCCACCCAACGCTGACCTGGGGGGAGGCAGACAGGACGGCGTGTGTCCCGACGGTCCTCACACCTTATACGACTCACCGGACGTGTTTGGAAATATAAAGTCGAGACCGGCTGTTGAGACCCTGCAAGCGCCAGTGAATCCCAGATTGTTAGATTGTTTGTGGGGGAGGAAAGGAGAAGTGGGGGGGAGGGAGCAGAAAAAGAAAGGGGGACGGGTTGCCCAGTAGGATTTCAATCGAATACACGACCGCCAGAAAGGTGTCTGAATCTAGGACCTGCTCAGGCACAGGCGGAAAAGAACAGCTGTTAGAGAACTAAATATTGTAGGAATAATCGAAAAATCGTGCTCAATTATGTTTGAGGGCTAGCAGTCAAATGATGGCTACAATTTTTTTTATGTTTCATGGCTTACTGGGATTGGGGAAAAAAATCTGCATGGGGTCTGAGCACCTCCGTTCCAAGCTATGATGCATATGTTTTTAAAATGTGAATGTTTCCACTTGAAAACTAGAGCATGACGGATTAAAATGCAGGCAAAACCTAAGGGAGATTTTCAGAATGCACAGATGACAACTCCAGGAAATATATTAACCGCAGCCATGGGCCAACTTTGTACTCAGTTTGAAATGCAGCACCTCTCAGAAAATGCTTAATACAACAGTGAGAATCTAATGGAGGTTGGAATCTAAAAATCCACTTTCATGATATCTGCTGTTACAGTAATATAGACATACTGTAAATGTATTTTAAAATATATAGCCCGTTTAATTCCCCAGCTATAAATGGCTCAGAAATGGAGAAAGAGGGGGAGAAGGAGAGAATATTACTTTTTTCCCCCTTGAAGCAAACGCTTTATGAAGATCTCATTGGAATCCAGCAAATGATTAATGTGAAGATTTGGGAGGAAATCTGGGGAGCTGTATTAAAGCCTAGATCTCAGGTTCATTTCGATCAGCCAGCCGTGAACTCTGGGCCGAATTCATTACGCTTTAATAGTGCTGGGAGAGGAAGAAAATGCAATTTCTCATTCCATTAGAAAACTAGAAAATACTCTCAGTTTGTCCCCCTATTAAGATGTGGCAGGTGACAGGGCCATTCTGGGGGACACGGTCAATGGGATTACAGCACATTATTTTTGTTCGTATAAAATATTGAAAGGCAAGCCTGACTGTGCAGAAGTTATTTCACTGATTTGGTTTTTATGTAAATAAAATATTGAAAGTTAATTAATCCGTGCTAGAGACTAATGATTATGCTTATTATATTGCATTTGATCGCGTAATTTGCATGATTCTCGCATTGCTGCTTAATAAGCCATTCCAGGTTATAAATAATTCTGAAATTGGTTTCTAATAATGGCATGCTATAAAAGGAATGGTTTTATTACACGAGCCAGAAAAGAGGAGCGATATCAGACAGGGAACTGGCCTCCATGTGAGTAAAGGTGCTTTCATAAATACCAAAAAGTGTGATATGTACCAGAGAGAGGTTTTAAAAAATGTGTGTAGTGGATAACTTAGCCTAGAATAAAAAAGCATCTTTAAAAACATACAGTTGCAATGAATTGAATGTTTAGATAATTTTTAATCAGTGCAGTGGCCCACATACTGAAAAGAATGTGTGGCAATCTGTTAACTATAAAGAAAACTATGAAGTACTCATCATATAAGAACAAAAACCAATTACTATTTAATTTGAATTTGGTCAAGGAGCAATGGTACAGTGAATTGTGAACCAAATACATTTTCCATAAATTATTTTTGCATTACATTACATAATGTTAATCATTTTGAAAAGTTAATTAGGAAGGTTATGTTGATCTGATTACTTTTTAAACTATGGAACATTATTTTTAAAAATATTGAAATTACCATTCTATTAAATTGTTTCTATCAGCAGTCTCAAGCTATTATCAGTGGTTGGATATTATGCTAGAACAATTAAAGTACTTTGTCTCTTTCTTCCTGCATATTCTTTTGTGTATTTTTTGAAAATAACTATTTCTATTACATAGTTTATATTTTATTTCATTTACAACTTTTTTCTATTAATAGAATCACTGTCATTAACCTTTGGAAGACCTAATAAAGTTTAATAGACCTCGTTTTCTTTTTTCATAAAATCAGTTGTCCAATTATATTTTATTTGTGATTTTAAGTTCTATAATTAATTTAAACTAATTACCAGTGTGTCTAGGCTAAGACACAGCATTTTCCTCTTTAAAACAAAAATTAGTAGGTAGTGTTTTACTTGGGAAACAAAAAACAACCAAATTTATAAATTTTAACCTACAAATGAGTAATATCGTCTGCATTGATGAAGGTATTAAAATTGTATATTTCTGAAGAGGTTTGAACTCAACTTCAGATTTTTTTTTAAAAAGCGAAAAGTGAACATTTTAAAAGGTATGAATAATATAGCTGCACTACGCAATTAGCACTCTTTCAGTGTGTGATTTTAGAGGCCTTTCAGAGTTCAGTGAAGAAAAAAAATAGTACCCAGATTTTATGGAATAAAAATGTTAATCATTATGTTATACCCTCAATATTACTTTATTAATTTGACCATTTAAAGTCCTCGATGATATTCATTTACTCACTATTAGAATAGAAGCATGTGCTATTTTTTCAGTTTAGACTATCTTAAAATGCCTAACGGAGACTGAAATACTCAACACTGTGGATTCGAATACCCTTGTCGCTTATTTCTTAGATCAAATGTAAAGTAACTAAGATCTGTAAAGTTAATTTATAAAAACAGGAAGGGCTGTTTCAATAGTCACGTTGACACCCAGGAATATCAGATATGATATTCCAACGACCAAGACAGCAAAGGAAGGTTTTCAGCACCCTGGATAGCTCCAGACTAAGCGCGCACTTGGAATTTCAACTCCAGGCATCCGTCCATAAAATATTCGATCTATTGTTTTCATTCTTTTTAAAAAGCGAAAAAAAATCTAGGATTCATTAGGCGTATACCTTTATCCCCCGATTTTCAGAAAAGCTATAGTGTGATTTTCTAGGTTATATATACATGTACAACTTGGAGAGTAGTTGGAGGAGAATGAGGGTTCAGAGAAGATTTCGTCTACTACCTGTCAACCTTTCCCATCCTAAATGTCCCTTCTTCGGATATCTACAACAGGAGGCCTTCTCCTCCCGCCCCCGCCCCAATTTCCTTAGGGGAATCTAAACAAAACAGGACTTGCAGGCTGTGGTGGATATCACCCGCCGCCCACAGCATACTGATAGACCAACAAAGTTCAATCCCCTCGCCTTTAAGATAATAAAACTACGCTGTGAATCCCGGGTGTAACTCTTTCTAAAAAAAAAAAAAAAAAAGGTGCCCGTGAAGCCTTGTCCTCTCCTTTCCCCTATCTTCTGTATAATTGTGCATTTTCCCGTTTTTCCCGACGCTTAACGCCAGCCCGTTAGGGGATCGTGAAATACATGTCAATGGCACAAGCTCTGGCTGAGCTGCGCGCTGGGCCCGGTCGCCTGGGAGCTGCGGAGGCGCCTTCTCCGGAGGAAGGAGGTGAGCCCGGCAGCTCCACGACGCCGAGCCTCGCTTTGGAGGACTGTCTTCGGGCCGCTGCTATACTAGACGGACCTAGGGGCCAAGCATGTTCGTTGGAAGATGGCAACCGGGGCCAGTCTCAGGGCAGACCCCAGGAACGCACAGGCAGCCGAGTCGCCGCCAGGATCTTGACCGAGGAAGGAAAGACCCGCCGCCCGCTCCCCGCCCTCGCCAGCGCCCCAAGCCCGCGTACCTGCACCCGGGACTCGGTCAGCCCGATACGCAGCGCCAGCTCCTCGCGCATGAAGATGTCCGGGTAGTGCGTCTTGGCGAAGCTCCTCTCGAGCTCGTTGAGCTGCGCGGGGGTGAAGCGCGTCCGGTGGCGCTTCTGCTTCTGCTGGCCCTGCTGCTGGCCGGCTTGGCTGGGGTTCGGGCCGCCCTGGGGCCCGGGCTGCTTGTCCGGGTCTTTGGCGCTCACCGCCAGCGAGGCCGGAGTGGAGCCCACGGTGGTGATGTCCTCCCCGGGTAGCAGAGTGGTTCCCTCCACGGGGTCGGAGTTGGGCGCCAGGTCCCCCGGATGGCCCCCGGGGTCGGAGCCGCCCACGCCCAGCCTACACTTCACCGCCTCCCGGTGGCCCAGCAGCTCCGCCGCATCTTTCATACCTGGAGAGACAAGGGGGTCGCGGTCACGACTCTCGCGGCGACGCCGGGAGGGGCTCTCTCCCGCGCGGCCGCTCGCCACGCTGAGCTCCTTCGCGCCCACACTCGCCCTGTGGAAGGACACCCCCAGGCGCTCGACTAGGCTTGGGCGGTAGGTTGGAGTCGCAGCCCAGGGCCCATCCCCTCTCTGCAGCCGGTCCCGCAGTAAACAGCACGTGCTTCCTTCTCTCCCACTCGAAAACTCTCCCAGTCCCGGCAATAAAACACGCTTCGAATCCCGCTCATGAACACTACCCCGGCGCCCCCAGGAAATCGAGGCGCGACTTCGGACACCGGGTGAAGAGAAAAAGAACACGGAACACTCCTAGGCGGCGGCCCACCTGCCTTCAGCGGCCTGAGGAGCTGCCCCGGCCTCCGCCGAGGCCCTCTCCCTTTCGGAAGATGAATCGGCCCCAAACCTCCACCCCGAAACCAACCCCAAATCAGCTCCGCCTTCCCCTCAAATCAGAGAACGTGTTTGGGAAACGGAGTCACATCCATCACCAAAGATTCCCAAACCGGAAACCCAAAGCCCAACAACCCAGACAGCAGTAAGGAAACTCCAGTCAACTCTGCGGACGACAGCGAATCCAACTTTAGAGGGTTCAACTTTTCCTTCTGGCGGAAGGAACGGCGCCGGTCGTCTCAGTCACCGACAGCGCCGCGCGTGCCGTGCGCCAGGCGGGATGGCTGCGGAGCTGGACTGGACTTTTCTCCTTCTCAGCGGGCACACCCGGCAAATCCGCCTCGATGGCAGCGGCTTTCCCATTATACTGGGTTATTATTATTATTTTAAAACAAATTCAACCACCCCTAGACAAGGAGAAAGGAAAAAGGCGTGGAGAGAGAGAAAGGGAGGAAAGAGAAAAAGAAATCCCAAATCAAGCCAAACAGGAGAGGAAAAAGAGAGAGGGCGCAGCACCTCCGAACAAATTACCACGGGGTAGATCGCCTTTCCAAAAGAGGGGGGCGGAGGAAGAGAAAAATAAGAAAAACAAAAAGGAACAACAGTCCCCAACCCTTTTTTTGGATCTACATATTCCATAGATTTTTTTTTTAAGACGATGTTAAATCAAATTAAACTTTAATGCAGCACAATTACTTTTAAAGAAATTAGTCCATTTAGGGCACATTAAGGTAAAATAAGTCACAAATTGGCAATTTCCTGCCCCGGCTTCTCCCGGCTGCCCGGGCAGAGGCGCGCACTCACCTAGCCTGGCGTCCAGGAGGTCGGCGTGAGACAGCATCGCGCACCGCTCCAGGGCGAAGGCTGTTCCCCCCCAAATTTTAGCGGCTTTAAGTTATTTAAAATAGATATAAGCTATAGGCTATACGATATAGATATATATAGATCACCTAAATGAAAGAAAATTCGGTTTGTGGTTAAAAAGGGGGCTTCTTGCATTATAATGTCCTTTAGAGAGACGGGGAGGTGCTTAACAGTTGAATGAACCCGTGAGCAGCTCGGCGAGGGGACCAATCAGGAGGGCAGCCTGCAAATGTCAGCACCCGGAGAGTCCCCCACTCCGCCCG